ACAGATAGACAACAAGCATCGATAACATAAGGAAACTACAGAAACAAGTGAAACGCAACCAATAACCGATAATCAAAAAAATCAATAAAACATACACGTATTTTGTGGGTTTATATGAATAGAAATAGACTATAGTACAGATAAGCAACAAGCATCGATAAATTCATAAGGAAACTACGAAAATAAGTGAAATGCAACCAATAACTAATAGTCAATAATAATCAATACTTGTCTCCGCGGGCTCCAGCAGAGCGCTCACATTCCATATTTTGGTTGCAATTTTAGACCGCGGCGCACTCTGCGTGCGCTACGTAAGCAGCGTACGCACACGTGCATAATGAAATGGAGCGTGTGTTGGTCTTTTCGCCTGCTCCATGTACGTCGCGCAGTCCACCCAACCCTGAACAGTAAGTTTGCGAACGTAATGCAAGGACAGAGCAGGACCACCGCCTACCAACTCTTGAAGCTCTGAAAGTTTCCCGAGGTGGTCTACAGACGATGTGTTGGACGACATTATTTTTCTTTGTTGCTTCTACAATAGTGGTAAAGTTAATAAACCTCTTTTCGAGATCTTTTGTTGTCTCATCTACGTCTGACATTCGTTGATCTTGTTTTTTTGGCCAGCCAATCTTCCGGCGTCCCTCTTATGCTACTCTCTACTCTCACTCTATAGTGCCCTAATAAGCGAAGGATCTTGGGAGAAGACAGCCAACTTTTAAAAAAGAAGTACAGTCCGATGGTGTAGCAAGAATTCTCACATGTCAATGAAAAACGCATAAATATTCATTTTTCTCTGCGTGTATTTGAATTCTGTCTGGAGTGTCATCGAAGCAGGTTCATTCGCAAATGTGCGCAGGGTTAAGCAAGATAGTTGGGAGGAAAGGGGCCTCGACACTATCATTGAAACACCCTACAGAATTTGTGCCACATAGAGCTTTGCTACTACAACATATTACCTTTTTTTGCAAATTCTGTTGGTACATTTAAACATTTCCAGTGCGTCCATGTGTTGGCTTGTATGCTCGTTGTAGAAATCACTCAGAGTGAATTGATTGGGTTAGATTTTGTTTTTAGCCGATAACTAAGCAACGGCGGTTTTCAATGGTGGTGCAGGAGGAACCAAATGCCGCCCGCATCCATAAGAAATAACTGGCAATGAGAAGGCGGGCATGCGGAGGAATATGACATTGATGCGAAAGATCTTTGCACGGAACTAATGTGTAACATTTTCATCTTCCGTATGAAAAACCTTGCAAAATAAGAAAAAACAGATCTGGCACTTGCATTGGAAGACACATCCATGAGGCAAATCGGAATTCAGAATCACTTAGTAAAAAAATAACCAACTTTATAATGAAACTAGCTGGCATGCCCAGCTTCGCCTGCACCCTAAGTTTAACTGGCTCATCAAAGAGCAAACTTGGTGCGTAACTCTAAAGGATCGACTTACCTGCATTTTGGCCTCCTTCTGTTTCTCGGTACCTGCTAACCGTAACGCCGTGAATTACCGCATCTCCCTCATCAAGGATAGAAATGAGCCCACCGCTACTGTTTACGCGAAAGTTGGAAGTAGTTTGATAGTACTTAATAAACAATTTTCTTCAAAATCAACAAATCAATAGGAGTGGGAATTTCGCCGCAAAAAGTAGTCTACAAAGGATCCGCCTAAGTCGCATTCCATGGAAAGCTCAAAGCCAAATCGGAATAATTTTTGTCACCTAGTTAAATTTCTGCCATAAAGAATCCTACATCCTCCAACTTGGTCATTATACAGTAGGCACATAGTGTACTCAAATATGCCGAAATACCGAAATATTTCTAAGCATAGAAAGCGAGAAACAAAAATTGTCCAAAAATGGCAAACTCCTCCTCAGCCCCTCCTACATATGTGGTTGTATACTACAACTCTTACTAAGTATAATTCCAAAATCTTACCCCTGTATGTGCTCTTATTTTCGAGAAATACTAAGTTTTGAATAATGGAAAAACCCGAAAAAAGTGGCATTTTGGCATTTTGAGACCATCTTTTTCTTCTCAATTTTGAGCCCCAGAAAAAAACAACAAATACATTTTTGGGTACTACTATGTGTCTAATGTAAAGGTTGGTTGTAAGGTTGAAGAATGTTGTAAAGAAGGTTGTAAAGAAAGGTTAATTAGGTTGTAAAGAAAGTTCTGACAATTGTGCTCGTAAATACCAAAAATGAATGCGAATGCAAAGGGCTGGTTTGAAAAGTGTTCTTAGCGTGCGATGGCCCTAATTACCCAACACCCTATTCATTACGAAAAAATGACCATCAACTAGGAAGAAATGCCCCAAAAAGGAGAAAAATCCGTTGCGCTTAGGTCTGCAGAAAGGCGCATTTTTCAGGATATGGAAGCGCAGAACTTCCAAAAGCTTGATTTGAAATTCCATTTTATACCATGTATACTAGCAAGATGAAGCGCTATCCGACTATTACTTACCCGGGCACCTGAGCCTTTTTGCAAGCAAGAGATAACTCATTGAATTCGAGGGTCAAGAAACCGAACTCGCCACCTGTTTCAAAACGCAGCCTGCGCGCTTCTTGAAAAAAAAAACATGACGTACCTAATGAGTAGTATAAGGTTATCAGTACACAGTACCAAAATATTGCTGAATGACAGCCACAATTTGGAAGTCCGTAAGAATTCTCTGAAAGGAGATCAATTTTTACGGTAACTGAAAAATCTTGATTTTTGGCCCCAAATTTTACTTAGATTACGACTTAGGTGGATCTTTGGTGGTCTTCTTGAAGAGTCTGCTTTGCTCTATCGAATGGTACCTTAAGTTTGTCAGGAGAACAAGAACAATTTAATTTATTTGAAAATGGAATTTACTTTTGGGACCACCTAATATATTAGGTCGTTTCAAAAGTAATTTCGATTTATTCAAACGAGCACCACATGTGACGGAACAAAGGTTTCTAAAAGATCTTGGAAGCGTTCGATGCAGAATTTCATTCTCTTTATAACGATTATGTAATTGGGTCGTCATACATTTTTCAACAGAATTCTAACTGATGCTACCGATTTCAATCCCTGGGCAGCTAAATCCTCGTAGAACATCAAAAGAAGAGCAGCTAGTACACTTTTCGGTGCAGCATTTTCTCCTCTTTCTAAAAGGTGTTTATGTTTCCGATTCGCTTAGTTTCCGGGGAGAAATCATCATAACTCATTTTTTAGCGAACCCCAGGCTGTACCCGAAAAACTCGAATTTTGGTATTTCGAACCCGTAAACTCTCACTTGCCTTGTAAAGTTAATGCTAATTCATAGTACCATCTTGGTAGTCTCAAATTCCGAAAAATTATGATGTTCGATGCGATTGCGGCTGAGGTGGGCCTGCCAAAATCCAATGGTTCTGTTGAAAAATCTTTTAAAAGATTACGGCGAGCTACGAGATAGAGAAAAAAGCAGTACTGTATTCTATAAGGTTTACTCTATCGAGTCGTTATTTGAACTCCTTCTGAGGATTGATATGAAAGTTTTGAAAAATCGTGAAACTTGAAAATCTCAAAAAGCATGGGTCGCAGATTTTGGTTATTTTCCGAAAGCTTGCGTTGCAACGGTTTCATTACTGTTAGAAAGACGATGAATTTCTGCATCGAATGCTACCAAGATCTTCTAGAAATCTTTGTTCCATAAAAAGTGGCGCCCGTTTGAAAAAGCGAAATTACTCTTGAAACGACCTAATATGTGTGCAAAGTTTTCCGGTGATCGGTCCACACGCGAAAGTTTCTATAAAGAATACACTACTTGACATTTATCAACATTCAGCTTTTTATATGTATAACAAAACAAGTCCACAGTCCCGGCTTAATTTTTTTTTCAAATAGTTTTCCTCTAACCTACTGTTTTCTAAAAATGACCCGGACGGTTGCGTTGTGTGTCAGCCAATCGTACTCAATCGGAAATTTACAAAAACACGTATGGAGATTTTGCAAAGAGACAATGATTTGAACGTTTACTTATATTATATTTGAAGCTTGCATTTTGCACTCTTTTGGGACTTTTGAGTAATTCTTAGAGCATGGAAATTGCATAGACAATAATTTAAGAGTATAAGAAAACGAGATAAAACAGTTTTGGTCGCAATATAATGTATTGCAGTTGCACTGATTATCACCATTTTGTGACTACGAAGACAGTTCAAACAACTCGGCAAAATTCTGAAATTGAAACTTCTAGATTCTGAATTATATCGCATACTTTAGATTTTTAGCAGCCCAATTTATGATAACCAAAGTTGAAGTGATTCTATACTCTTACCTCCATCTCAAAAGCTGCTCCTTATCAGTGAGCAGCAAAGGTACTGCCACAAACATTATATAATTCCCTCTAGTCAGTGGAGCTGAGTTTGTGCAAATCGTCAACTGAGAAGGAGTTATGTTTTTTTTTTCAAAAATGTTTCGACAGAACTTTTGCACCAACCTAATACATTTTTTTGCAGGCACTTTTGACCTAAGAAGCGTCGAGAACACAGTCACCATGGACATAGCTTTGATAGGTGAAAAACGGCGATAACTTTGAAACGAACTCATATAAAAGAATCTTGCAGCATTTTTGACAAGAGCATCATAAGGCAAGAGGAATGCTACGAGAACTATAGGAGAATGTTAATATTCCCGAAGTTTATAGGAGGAATCAAGAGCGGAAGCAACTTATTCCGACCCAATGCACTTTCAATTATTTTGCTCCAGTAAACACTTCTCGTCCACAAATGTTCCGCAGATAAGGAAGGCAGATAAACTAAGCATTTATGCTCTTCGATATCGTTCATCCCATCTGAAAAGGCCACTTTGGCTAAGCACGCTTCCCTCAAGGGTTTATGTGAAGATCTATTTTCACCCTGTGCTTGCGACGCCTAGCATAACCAGTCGAGCAGTGTGATAAACCAAAGTAAATACATAGTATTACTAAGAAACGACTTTAGAATTTATCGGTTACCAATTTCGCTAATTGCAAATACAAAAGAGGAAACAGCGAAATTATTGGATTACTCGTATCAATTCAGTAATTACAATTTTTGATTCTTCCATCTACTTTTGATACACTCGGCTAAGCAGTAGTTCTCGTGCTGCCTCAATATGCTCTCTTTCAACTGGCTCGTCTTCATCACAGCTAGCGGATGCAGCCTGAAACACTTCAAACATTAAAACATTATAAGAGCTTTTTGCAGTCCATATCCAACATGGCAGTGGGTGCAGTATTAATAATTGAGTGCGAAGTACAGGATGTGGTCTAGATGCTCAGTTTGGATTGTACATGCTCGCAAGAGGTTGAGATTTTTGTCTCAAAGCGCTTGAACTTGACGCGTGAAACAGTGTGGGAGCACATATTTTTGTAACCTTCTGGAGATACGAAAGAATATAGTCAGGGATGTAGTGAGCAACACAAAACTGACAGAGAACGCTTAAACGGGATGATCGTCTATAGATCCTTACGACAAGTACACATCGTGTTTGTCTAACAATAGGGCTGCGTGGCCACTATCATCCTACTATAATAACGCGCTAAGAGTGTTCACGTGTTTTTGTGTGTCTGTCTGTCTGAATGTCTGTCTGTCACGAAATTCGTAGAGCGTGTTCCAGCCAACGTCCTGGGCTCAAATTTTGCATAGCACTTGCTAATGGCATGAAAGTCCAACATGCAAAATTACAAGCAGATTCGTTGAGTGGGTCTCTTGAAAATTGCGCGTCAAATGGATCCACTTTGCATTTGGCCCACAAAATTGGGTCCGTAATTCCACTTTTTGCAGAGTGCTGGGTGTTTATGGCAAGTAAATGTGCAAGCCATGAACTTAGGCTCAAATAAGTGACCAAAAGTCCATTACTTTACAAAAACGGCGCCAAAAAGTATTGCTTGCGTAAATGGTCAATTTGCCAAGGTTTTAGAAAAGCATTTGAGAAGATTTTCTAGAGATGTAGCTCACGGTGACTATTGCCTTTATGGCGACTATCAAACCATGACATGACAAATTCAAAAACCTATTCAAATTTGCCTTTGTCTTCCTGCGAAAAGTTTTTTCCATGCGAAATCACTGATCTCACGTGAAAAAGCTTTCTGAATGAGTAGTTGTTTACATTTCATTCGTGGTAGTCGGCATAGCACGGTGAGTTCCAGTGCCACGATTTTACGAGAACGAGTAAGGCACATAGATAGTAGAGCCAGTGCGAGCCTCTGCGAGGCAGAGGTGACGCACTGGTAACTTATAATAACGGGCTAAGGGTGTTTACGTGACTTTGTGTGTGTGTGTGTCCGTCTGTCTGTAACGAAGTTCATAGAGCGAGTTCCAGCCAATATCCTGAGCCCAAATTTTGCACAGCGCATGCTACTAGCGTAGAACTCCACCATACAAAATTACGAGCAGATTCGTTGGGTGGATCCATCAGAATTTGCGAGTCAGACGGATCCACTTGGCTTCCGGCCCGCAAAATTGGGTGTGTATCAACGCTCTTTGCAAAGTCGTGGATGAGTTTGGCTTGTTGATGTGCAAGACATAGACTTTAGGCGAAAAAGCGACCAAAGGTCTACTACTATACCAGAACGACGCCAAAAAGAAATGGTTGCGCAAATAGTCAATCCGCCGTGGCTTTTACCTGACCATTTGAGAGGATTTTTGCATAGAAATGTAGCTCACAGTAATTTTTGTCCTTATGGCGACTACCAAGCCAAAAGAAGTTTAAAAACCTAACCGAATTTGCATTTGTTCTTCTGCGAAAAGTTCCATCCATGCGAAATTACCGATCTCACATGAAAAACCCTTTAAAATGAGTAGTTGTTCACATTTATTTCGTGGTAGTCGTCATTGCACGGTGAGTTTCAAAGACATCATTAGGCGAGAACAAGTAAAGCATATAAAGTAAGACCAGTGCGAGCCTCTGCGAAGCAGAGGTGACGAACTGGTAACTTATAATAACGGGCTAAGGATGTTTACGTGTTTTTGTGTGTGTGTCTGTCTGTCTGTCACGAAATTCGTGGAACGGTTGCCAGCCAACATCTTAAGCCCAAATTTTGCACAGCGCATGGTACCAACATGAGAGTCCACTATATCGAAGCTTGAGCGGATCCGTTTACCGGATCCTTTGAAAATCGCACATCAAACGGATCCACTTTTCTTTTTAGCCGCAAAAGTAGTTCAGTATGCAACTTTTTGCTAAGTTATGATTATGTTCAACATATAAATCCGCAAAATTTTTCATGTCAACTTAAAAAACTAGGAAAAGTTTAATCGCATGCGGAAACGGCGCCAAAACGTGGCAGGTGCTCATTTTGACGATTTCCAGAGGTTCTACTAGACGAAATTGAAAGATTTTTGCACAGAGACGTAGCTCGCATTATTAGTTTTCATAATGGTAACTATTGAGTTTTCAAAAGTTTAGTGTTCATTTCCAAAACGTATTCGTTCTTTATTCGAAAGAACCCTTTCATATAAAATTACCGGTTACATGCGATAATGCATTTGAAATGAAAAGCTTTCTCCATTTCATTTGTGATGGTCGGTGAGTTTCATTGCTAACTTAACACAATAGGAAAGCAGAACTTCCAACGCGCTGGCCACACGTGTCAGACCTTTAGACAAGCGGAAGCAGTTTAACTTTACAACGCATTTAGTCTGTAAGATAAAAGCATCCACAAGCATATGCATAGGCTCCGCACAAACTGTGAGCGCAATATGCATCGTATAATTGGGATTTCGTTAGTAATATGCAACTTTGATTGAGTTATGATCACGCTGGACACTGTGTTTGTTGCTCTTACACAGGCCATACTACACTGAGAAGTACTTGAATATTCTAGAGAGTTTTAGTGAACGTTTTGGCCAAACGTATGAAATCAACTTTTTTCTTTTGAAAGAGCTAAGGAACAAAGCGATGAGTGTTTGAAAATAGTTGCGCCGCATATACAAGGTGCATGTATGCATAAGCTTGAAATCAGAAATGTGATACTGTCGTGAGTGCAATGTCTCATTTCGATTGGATAAGTCGAAGCGGTAGGTTTAGTGCATTTGCTCTATGCACAGTCATTTTCAATCCGGTGTAGCCAAGGCATTTTACCGTGAAACCGTGGCTCTCATTCTAAGGAAGTTTGGAAGTTAAAAAAAACGATGAGATGCACTTTTTCGAAGGTAGATGCACTCAAGGATGCATCTACCTCCGTAACAGCAACGAATGTTGCAACGCGAGAGCGCATCGTCCAACGGGGGATTGAAAATGCACTGTAGATTGTTCCACTCATGCAGAGTTTATCTGAAACGTTTTTTTGGATGGCCACACGTTGCAGGTTTTACCGGTTCAGCTCTGTTGCCTTGTTGTTGAGCATCATAGTCAATATCCGTGCAGTTTCTCTTGAGTCATTGCTTTTAGCACTATTAGCGGTAAAACTAGCTGCTAGCGACAGCAGCCGTTGTAATAATGCACCGGTAGCGCCTGTAAAGCTAAGACAATGGGGGCACTGAAGAGTCCTCGAGATTATATTAGGTTGTTACATAAGTTTTGTTACACTCGACTGAAAAAATCCTCATAACTTTTCCAAATGATTTTCCCTTACCTCCAAATTATGCGTGGTGTTGCAGATTTTTGATATATACATGTCACGCATGAAAAATCAAATTTTAGAATTTTTTGGAATTTTTTCGAATTATTCTTGGCAAATTTCCAACTTTACTCGTTGACGAGCTTAGACTTTCAGACTGCTTCAGTATTACTACCAATGCTCCCAAAAGTCTATAAAAAATCTAAAAAGATAGAAAAGAAGAACAAGAGAGTTATTAAAATTCAAAGAAATAAATGGAGGTTGGAGTGCCCTCACAAAGTTGCCTTTATAATTACTGTAAGTTATGTTGTGAGGGCATAAATGGTACCAGCGGATAGCCCTTTATTCCTTCTCCATATTTCCCAAATATAAAAACTTGCCGAATTTTCTAGAGTTTTTCGGGGGAAGACGAAGAAAGTGTAACAAAACTTATGTAACAACCTAATAGTACTACAAAAATATGGCCACTTCGTTCATTCTTTGAGTTACCTTCACACGCAATCTATCCAAAGATAAGCGCGCGCAAAAAAGTTGCTAGAAACGCAAGCTGTATTCTAGATTGGTCAATGAGGAACTATCAGCTGTCATCAAGTCTGGCTATGACAAGTCACTATTTATTTACTATTTATTTGCCTTTCATATTATTACAATATGCGGCACCCAAACAAACTGGTTCAATCTTTTAACGCGAGTAATCTTACTCTTTGCCAAATGCAATTGCCAAGCTTCTTCTGAAATTCGTCTCTCCAGCTCGTTAGGGCCAGTATATCGAGTTGTGTTCTCTTCAGGGCTTCTTGCAGTTCTTGTAGTTGGAATTCGTTTGGCTGGCGTCTCACGTTGAATTATGATGTGTAAACAGCCGTTATTGGGATGGAACATACTTGATCCTGCTGTTCCGGGGCTTCCTGGATCAAGGGGTTCGACGTCCGGTAGGGTGGGGAAGAGCGGTCAAAATGACCGACCAGTCGAGGGACGTGTAGAAGATGAACTCATGACAAGTCACATTGAGAGAAAATGGCGTTTGTTTTCGAGATGAAAGTCCCTAAGCACAATGCGTGTCAATGACTGCTTCTCTTTAGCTGCAGTCGAAGTAGAAGCAAAACGGCTTTGGGCTTTGTCACATCCACACTTTGAAGCGGTCAAATATCTTAGGTGTCTGGGCAGGCATTTTGGTTGATAACATTTGAAGAATGGATACTTGAGTGTTCAGTAACATACAGATTATTTTTCTTAGGTTCTTTCCCTGCCAATGGACAGTCTACTGCAAAATTTTTTGAGTTATAGGATTAGTGCTAAAAATGTGGTAAAATGCTTAACTCATCTTCAAAAATTCAGAAAAAGTATAGGTGCTGTCAGTCTTTATTTGTATGCCAAACATTAGTTTTTAAATTCGCATCCGTGCCTCCTCTTTTGGTATATTATTAGAGTAACCAACTTTTTGTCAAACTATCAAGAAATATACGTAAATTGTATAACAGAACTTACATTCAGCAGCGTAAGGTCTACGCTTCTATAGCGTTTTATAGCAAAAACTTAAGTGTCACACTCCTGTGTGCGCAAAATGAGCTAGCAAAAAAAGAGAAAATTCTCAATCAAAACAAACTATATGGTGTTTGGCAAAAAAAGAGAAAATTCTCAATCAAAACAAACTATATGGTGTTAAGTCACCGACAGAGTTGCAATACTTGATATATTTGATTCAGATTAAAAGTAGTGAAATGGAATTTAACCAGCAGCCAGAAAATCGTAGGCGTGGGCGTCCTCGCATTTATGCATCAGACGCTGACCGCCAAAGAAGTCATCGCACGGCTGGAGGAGAACAGCAGCGTGCTTTGCGGAGGAATTCAGACGCTATGCGCCATCAGCTAGAACGCCAGCATGAAGACGCTGAGCATCGCTCCATTAGACGTGCGCAAGATTCGCAACGTCATCGCGAATCACGTGAATATGAAAGTTTTACCGAAAATGCTGAACGTCGTTCCTCTGACGCACAGCGTCAACAGAGACTTCGCCAGAATGAAAGCAGTGAGGATCGTGCTGAACGTCTATCGGCGAATGCTGCGCGTCAACGGAGACGTCGCCAGAATGAAAGCAGTGAGATCGTGCTGAACGTCTATCGGCGAATGCTGCGCGTCAACGGAGACGTCGCCAGAACGAAAACAATGAAGATCGTTCTGAACGGCTATTGGCGAATGCTGAGCGTCAACAAAGGCGACGACAAGCTGAAAGTGCCGAAGACCGTGCGCAGCGTCTTTTGGTACAGAATCAGCGTCAGCAGAGACTACTGCAGAATCAAACGAGTGAGGAGGGCGCCGAACGCCGAAGAAGGAATGCGATGCGGCAGAGATTGCGCAGAGCACAAGAAAACGAGGAAGGAGAAGCAGGTCGCCGTCAAGAGGATCTTCAGCGCCAGAATGAAGACCAAGAGGCGCAGGAAGCAACAATGATCAGGAACCGTCAGCGTCGCAATGTTGCCAATACCCTCGGAATAGCACTCAGACAACGCATGTCAATCATTAACCACTTAGGAGAGCTCGATCGTCGTTGCTCAAACTGTGGTGCGCTACATTTCGGTTTCAAGGTTAAGCAACAGCATTCTAATATTTTCGGTGATTGTTGCGATTTTGGACACTTTTCTCTGGTCTGCAATATGCCACTAAAATCTTAAAGAGATGAAGAAATGTATGCAACCTCTCAAACGCAAAGTCCCACAGCCGTAGGCCTCTAAAGGCAAAAAAGCATAGCCTGAACTTACTTGAGCTAGCCATTTTTTTGCAGTTATGTAGTCACCTTTAGCATGAAGAACTCGGCCGATGTAAAGCCGGTTTTCTGTGACACCAGGATGTATTTGTTCCGCCTACAACTAGAATATGTTAAAAATGCGAGCAGCATTACTACATGGTGAAAATCTCAACTCAAGTAGATCGGTCAAAGCCGAATCGAGCGATGTTGGAGGCAATGTTCCGATAGCTCTTGCTGCCAGCCTTTCAAAGAAACTCAAGTTTGCAACCTCAACTGCAGTGATGACCTTCGAACACTTACATAAGAAGAAGCTCACTTGATACTGAAATCGTCCTCGCATATGTAATAGTTCAAATGACAATGGATCTAGTGCCACCGCACGGTCGAGATATGTCTGGAAAGGTTTAGAATAGGAAGAAAGCATTGTTAAACACATACCTCATCGATTCGTCATTATGGGATCGTTCAGACCGCGCCAGAATTCGTCCAAGCCCGCCCGAATACGTCCAAATCCGCCCAAACACGTCCGAATCCGTCCAAACCCGCCTGAACGCTGGAACTGCCAAAGCGCAGCGGATATGCGGCAAATTGGCATATTGGAGCAGGCGTGGAATAATGCTCGCGTAGTGCATTATCTCAGTCACACGTAGCTCGACGTTACATACCGATCTTCTTTTGCAACTACTCCGATATTAGAAGGATCAATCGCACGCGTGCTCCAATATGCCAATTTGCATGCAACCTGCTGCGCTTTGGCAGTTCAGGCGGGTTCGGACGTATTTGGGCGGGTTTGGGCGTTTGGAAATATTCGGGCGGATTCGGACGTATTCGGGCGAGTATGGGCGGGTTCCGGCGCGGTCTGAACGATCCCTTATGCAACATTTCGAGATCTCTCATTTGCGTAATCAAAACAGGACTCATTGTTAGCGGCAACTGCACAGAGTGGATTAGCTTAAAGTGAAGGAAAAGAGAACAAGCCCTGTGAAATCTAGTTGCCCTCGCTGTGCCTCGAACACAGCATAGGCGAGCGGTGGTCGCGACGCGCTATGGACGGTCTCATTGGCTTATGAACTTTCGAGCAACATTCAGGTAGTTTCCAGCATTGCACATTATGTTTTAACACAATGACGACCGTTTGACACACATGGTGTGTCAAGCAATGACTACCGTGTGGGACTGTTTGGCACCCATATATGTCACGGCTCGAATTTTGTCAAATGACTACTATCTATGACTTAATAATAGCGGGCTAAGGGTTGTTTATGTCTGTTTGTCTGTGTGTCTGTGTGTACGTCTGTCTGTCACGAAATTCATACAGCGAGTTCCAGCAAATGTCTTGAGCTGAAGTTTTGGTCGTAGCACCTTGCCAGCATCTAGGCCCATCATACAAAATTTCGTACGGATCCGTTGCGTTGATGTTACAAAAATTGTGCGTCAAGCGGATCCACACGGCTCTAAGCAGGCAAAACTGAGTCCAGATTTGAATATTTTGCAAAGCCATGATTTTTAACAAGTAAATTTGCGCCTCATGAATTCTAACCCAAAAAGGGCCCAAAAAGTTTGCTTTTCTGTGAAAACAGCGCCAAAAAGTGGTGATCGCGTAGATAGTCGATTTGGCAAGGCTGTAACTTCAAATTCGAAAAGATTTTTGCACGGAAATATAGCCCAAAGTGACTAATGTCCTTATGACGACTACCAAACCAAAATAAATTCGATAATTCATTCGAATTCGCAGGTTTTCCTTTGCGAAAAAGATTTCTTTCTCAAAATTATCGATATTACGTGGAGATGCTTTAAGAATGAGCAGTTGTTTACAATTCATTTGTGATGTTCAGCATCGCGTGGTGAGTTTCAAAGCCATTCTCATGCGAACATGAGAAAGGCATACGGATAGGGAGCCAGTGCGAACCTCCGCGAAGCGGAGGTGACGCACTGGTCCTGGAATAAACCCGCTACATGAGCTTTCTTTTGCACTGAATTTAGGGATGACCTGTTCCTTATTTGTCAGCTTTTCAGATATACTGTAGATGTACTGTAGATGGCAGTATGCGCAGTTATAGTTGAAAATTGTGGGCTGGTCCGTAAAAGGCCTTTGTCCCAGAAGGCAGACAAATGGAAATTTGCATAATCGTCAATGTGTTAACCACAAACGACTCGGTCTATAAGAATACGTTCACAGAAGGTGCGCGCTCTATCGCGCTCTGCGCTGTAAGCCTGTAGTGTTTCGGGATCCCATGTTTCCAGCCGCTCCGCGTGTTTGTAGCTAGGCACGGGCAGCTGATTTTACAAAGGCTATACTTGATTTTTTTTGCGAGCTCTCTAAAAAAAGAAGAAGAGTTAGAAGAATAATTGCGTTTTGCGAAGACTAGAAGCTAAAATTTTGATTGTCATGTCGTGCCGAGCATTTTTCCTTTTCATTCCTTCTTCCCAGCATCTGTCATTCTTCTCTCGACATCACCGAATTTCCCGAACTATAGCAAACCCACTTTGAACTCAAATCCAAGGCTGATCTTTTCTCTTATCCCGCTCTCTTCGGCTAAACGACCGGTGGTGGAGCAGAGTATTTTCAGTATAGGTACACTAACAGGGTTTAGTTCGTGTGCATCTAACGCATGTTGTCGCCCTGCAACTCTGAGATCAAAATTATGTATAATGCTGAGGTTTCATCTGACCTGTTTTCAACCATTCCACACGCTCTTGATCCTTCTCTTCCATGTTACTGACCATATAACACACTTCCGCGCATTTACGATGCCACTCGGCTTTATCGTTAACGAAATCACACATCTAAAATGCTAAATTCTTACGACGATTTCAGTTATACATCTTTTTGCAATTTGGATACAGTTGCCAAAACTGTCGACTCCAGGGGCATATGTATCAATCGCTCGTCCGGGTAAGAGTTCCGATTCGGGTAATATCCTCTCCTAGCTCGGTGCATGTTAACTCTTCCCTGGACGGGCGACTACATACCACATACATACATACATACCACCCTAGGTGATATTGGTCAAGCATACTGCAGCTGACTACATTATAAGTCCTTGTGGCAGAATAAGAAGATGAGCTTACATAGCTGCTCAGAAGAGCTGATATTGATCTCATTCTGGACTGGTGCCTCATTTTGGGTAAATTTGTCACAAATTATTGGAACCGTCAAGTTAGTTTAGGATTTCAAAGGTAATGGACTGCTTTGAAAAGGGTTCAAACTAGCAAGGCAATGATGCTCAGTAACCGTGGTCGTGTGTTAGATTGGGTTGACGCAAAAATAGTGAGAGTTTTGCGAAGTCGTTTCATTTTGACTTGCTATATCTTTCCGAAAAGTCTACATTTTTAATTGCGGCAAGGAATATCAGAAGCAATCACCTTCTCCCAATCAGCGCAAAGTCTGCTTTCATATCACGAGGTAGAAAAATATGGATTGAAAGGAACAAAATTCCTAAAAACGTAGTGTGAAAAATTATCTCCCTTTAAAGTTTGGCAGCAATTTGTATGTAGCCTATCTTGTAGCAGCAAGCCAGTAGTATTAGGTTGCCCGAAAGTTGGGTCGCACCATTTTCAAAAATTCATAACATCTGGTTTTCTAAACCAGTTTGCGTGTTTCCATTTTTATATAAAAGAGCACTTTATTCCCTTCATAGAATTACCTTAGTGGCTTTCAATTTACCATACACTGCATAGTTAGAAGCGGTAAAGGGATTACTCAAATTTTCAATTTTCTTTCTAGAGTCATAAAAAATCAGAAAATTGCGGTAAAAGTCGGAACTATGTCAGTATTATAGGTTTTAATACCTGCCCTTTCTAACTGCGCAAAATTTGCATTGATTGAAGTCTCTACGAAAAGTTATGAAATTCGAGAAATATGCCAAGATAAATTAAATTTCCCTTTTGTATTATTATACTTGTTCGAAAATCACAACTTTTTATAGAAAGACTCAATCAGCACTTTCACACTTGAAAAGAGCAGCTAATAGGACCTATCATGCTGACATAGCTCCTATTTTTACCGCAATTTTCTGATTTTTTATGACCCTATACAGAAAATTGAAAATTTGAGTAATCCCTTTACCGCTTCTAACTATGCAGTGTATTGTTAATTGAAAGCCTCTAGGAGATTCCTATCAAGACCTTATAATAACGGGCTAAGGGTTGTTTACGTGTTTTTGTGTATGTATGTGTGTGTGTGTGTGTGTGTGTGTGTGTGTGTGTGTGTGTGTGTGTGTGTGTGTGTGTGTGTGTGTGTGTGTGTGTGTGTGTGTGTGTGTGTGTGTGTGTGTGTGTGTGTGTGTGTGTGTGTGTGTGTGTGTGTGTGTGTGTGTGTGTGTGTGTGTGTGTGTGTGTGTGTGTGTGTGTGTGTGTGTGTGTGTGTGTGTGTGTGTGTGTGTGTGTGTGTGTGTGTGTGTGTGTGTGTGTGTGTGTGTGTGTGTGTGTGTGTGTGTGTGTGTGTGTGTGTGTGTGTGTGTGTGTGTGTGTGTGTGTGTGTGTGTGTGTGTGTGTGTGTGTGTGTGTGTGTGTGTGTGTGTGTGTCCGTCTGTTACGAAATTCGTAGAGCGTGTTCCAGCCAGCGTTTTAAGCCCAAATTTTGCATAGCGCATGCTACCTTCATGAAAGTTCAACGTGCAAAAGCACGAATAGATTCGTTGAATGGGTCCCTCAGTAATTGCGCGCCAAACGGATCCACCTGGCTTCTGTCCCGCAAAATTGGGTCCATATCACCACTTTTTGCAAAGTCCTGGATGTGTTTGGTAAGCAAATGTGCAAGCGATGGACTTTAGCCCAAAAAGTGGTCAAAAGTTTGCTACATAACGAAAACGGCGCCAGAAAGAGTTGGTTGCGTAAATGGTTAATTTGCTAAGGTTCTAGCTAAGCGTTTCAAAAGATTTTCGCACGGAGATGTAGCTCACGGTTACTATTGCCTTTAAGGGGACTACCAAGCCATGACAACTTCAAAAACCTATTCAAATTTGCGTTTGTCTTCCTACGAAAAGTTTCATCCACGCGAAATCACCGATCTCACGTGAAAAAACTTTCTGAATGAGTAGCTGTTTACATTTAATTCGTGGTAGTCGGCATAGTGCGGTAAGTTCCATTGCCACGATTTTACGAGAATGAGTAAGGCACATAGATAGTAGAGCCAGTGCGAGCCTCTGCGAAGCAGAGGTGACGCACTGGTGAAGACAATAAATTGCTCTTTCAGATAAAAATGAAAATACGCAAATCGGTTGAAAAAACCAGAAGTTACGAATTTTTGGAAATGGTGCGACAGAACTTTCGGATCAGCCTAATACAAATGAGAATGGAAAGGGCTTGAAAAAAACGTTTGCTTGAAAAAAATTGAGATGTAAAATTGTAAGCTTTTTTCACATTTTCACACGCTTTGAGAAATAACTCGATTTCTAACGAGCACTTCTAATCAAAAGTTGAACTCTGTGTTTGCGTGAAGACGTACTTATGGAGAAGTTGTCAAAATTTTTGCAAAGACGCAATCGCAACGTTCAAGTCAAAATGTTACACGCTGTTCAGTTGTGCGCAGGGAATCTAAAACGACTCCGAATTTTACTCATTCTAACTCCTCTTCAAGCCAATTTCTACGTTACTGTTAGAATCACAAAAATTTCAAAGTTTTGAGCGGTTTTTTGTCCGATTGAATGGTCCAGAGTGGCTCTTGTTTACGGGACGTTACGCACTTTTGATGGGACAGCGCCCATGGCGAAATCTTAATTCTATGATGTTTTGCAATGAGCTCAATTTTATCGTTGAACGGACGACGCACTGAGCACACGATGAAGTTTTGCGAGCACTAGAACTGAAATTTTGTGGTTCTAAAACTCGACTATGTGAAGGTAAGGTTCAGGCTCTTTTATCAATATCAGCCACTACGCGAAGTAGACTCGAGCCTCTTTAGCGTATTCATTGAAAAGGCCACAAATCCTAATACCTTCATCCGAGTTGAGTAAGCACTTAAAAACTCAGTAAATCAGCGCTTTTTTGAAATAATGTGACTTTTTATGCGTTTTAAAGCAAAACAAGCAGTACAAATCTTCTTTTTGTAAGGCAAGAGCTCCCAGGTGTAACAAACGTTTCATATTTTAATGCTATAACTGTACAAAAATTCTGGGTTGAATGTCGTATTGCTCGAAAACAAGAGGTAGCCTTATATGTAGCTGTGACCAGCCTTCGGAACGCGATTTTTCAAATTTTTCAAATTTTCTCCAGGCAATATCAATGAAATTGAGAGCCGTTCCAGGCAACGATTACAGCGATACAATACAAATATGTATTGAAACTATAACTTCTACAATACAAATACTGTTACACTTTAACGCCTTACGGCCATAAGGCACATCAGATCATTAAAGGGCTCCAGAGAACCATTCGATAGAGCAAAGCTAGCTCTATAAGATAGTGTAAAAGTTGGCACCAGCTCTGACCCACTGTAACTTTGCATCCAAAATCGAGTCGTAGTGACGGCTCAAAAACAGCGAAAAATTCATGTATCTTTGTTCAGAAAGATCTTACGAATCTCCAACTTGTTCAAACTTGCCCACTATATCAAACACTCATATGTACCGTTGCTGTATTTTTTCTCATCTAGAAATCGAGAAAACAATTTTTTTAGTTTTTACAAAAGCGAAGCTATGCTGTTTCCATTCATGTAGCCGTATACTACAAGCCCTTAGAAGTATAACCGTAAATTTTCAACTCTCCAAAAGCCCTAGTTTTCGAAAATCACCTAACTTAGCATCGAACATCCGAATGGGAGAAGCTGAGTTTGGTATTTTTCGAAAACTAGGGCTTCTGAAAACTGAAAATTTACGGTTATAATTCTAGGGTTTGTAGTGTACAGCTATATGAATAGAAACAGCATAGCTTCGTTTTTGTATAGGCATAAGAACTTTCGTTCTTTCGATTTCTAGACGAAGGAAAAGTGCAGGAACGATGCATATGAATGTTTGATGTAGTGTGCAATTTTTATGAGCAACATGGAGATTCGTAGGAATTTTTTGAACAAAGATATGAATTTTTCCTAATTTTTGAGGATTCAATGCGACTCAGATTTCGGATGCAAACTTATTGTGGGTGAAAGCTGGTGCAAACGTTTGCACAATATCTTGTAGAGCTTGCTTTGCTCTATCGAATGGTACCTTGGAGACCCGTAAAGAGTATGAGGTGCATGACTTACCGCCGCAAGAAGTTATAGTGTAAAAGACTTATGTAACAACCTAATATCATGCGTCAGCTTTGGATAATATCATTGTTCGTAACACTTTTCAAGTATTTGTGCAGATAGAGAACACAGTATTGAGATGAGCCAAGGCGGATGTCATGACAACTTGTGAAGCATCACGTCCATCGCTAAGTTACCATTTCCCTGTAAGCTGCCGCTGATTTTTTTAGAAGGTCGCACAGGAAGCCAGACATCAATTTTATTCTCTCTCACAATCAAAAGTCTATTGATGTACTATTTCCTTCCAACATTCACCTTTACTGTATAGAAAAAATTTCTAAAGTTGTCTGCTTAAACGCACCAAGACCACTAAGCAAGTCAAAGCGTCTGGTACTGACCGAAATCACGAAGAAGCGAAAGTAGTGCTGACTTAAATAATATCCTATTTTTTGCGCAAACGCAGCGATGAGGATAACACTCCTTTCGCAATTACTTAGGTGCCCTGTGAAGTTCATATAAAGTCATGCTTCGATAAAAAAAGAGCTAGCTTTGCTGACATCAGGAACTGAACAATATAGAAAGCTGGAAAGCCACATATGTACGCGATAGTGGCAGGAAGTGCTGGGCCACAGAATCGTCATCTGCATTTGCCATTCGCTAAAACCTATTGTGCTCAAAAAATGTTACTACTATCACGTTTTCTTCGTGTACACTGCTTTGTAGAGGATTAGAACACATTTTTCTAAAAAGAGAAAGCAGAAGAAGAAAAAGAGAGAAGGTGCGATTGTAAAAGAAGACAAAAGGACGGAATAAAATTGCAAGAGAAGGAACAAGGAAAGCCAATCATATTTCTAAAAGATATGACAGCTGGGCTGCATGCTGCCTACGTTGCAACTATCATCTCTCCAAGGCTGTGATTTTATCCCGATACAGTAAACTCACAGATACCAATTTTTTGTAAGCCTCCTGACAATTGCAATCGTCAACGAGATCATCGACTTCGCGGTATATCGACTGAAATGGAAAATTAATTTTAAACTTGGTTTTATGAACATCAGCATTCTATCAACGCTGATCGCGGATGTCTATTGATTTTGGATATCCAGGTTCACATAATTACAAAAGCAAACAATGCGTTCCCAGCACTTACAAAAACCTGCTTAAACCTATAGGTCATAATAGAATGACCAAGGTATTGGACCAGAGCGCGCAAGTGAGGAATTAGCATGTTTAGTGGTGATTGCCGAATTCCAAGAAACTCTAGCGATAGATTCTTTGTACAGGCAAAAAAAACGCGCTACGCTTGTGCTACGCCGGACATATTGCCTATGACCATTGACAGCGTGAAGTGATAGCTGTTTCTTAAGTAAGAGGTTGTTGGTTTGGTATTTACTCCTTCTCTGTGCTAATGATCATGCACCAATAGATCAAAGATTCCCATTGATGCTTTATAGCTACATACTAAGTGCGTTACCAAAAGTAATCTTCGGTGGTTTGTCGGTGAACGTTGTGCACTGGTTATCTTAGCGAAGAGCTTATGAAAAGCAAAATTACTTTTGGTAACGCACTTAGTATGTAGCTATAAAGCATCAATGAGAATCTTTGATCTAAACATTTGGTGCATGATGCATGAAAAGAATTTGAACTTCTTCAAATTCATTTCCGAGCGAAAACTGAGGCAGTAAACACAATGTGACCATCGGGAATGTTTTTCGATTGACTGTGATACAATGCACCAATAAAGTCAAGAATGCACAGAACACTTGCAAGGGAACAATTCCAAAGGCTGCCACCTGATCATACATTGAGCTACAATTCTTCATTTGTTGAGCCAAAGAAGCGCAATCCAGTATCAAGCTTCCTTTAAGTTTTGTTCATACGGAATAAGTTTCGGTCGTTAAAACTCTTTCCATTCCCATCACTCTACTTGCACACTGTTCCAGCCTTTTCGTCTGCTTTTCGGTGCAACTATCCAAGTGAGCAACTCGTCCGGTTACGCATCTGCATCGGCTCTCTCACTTACCCGCTAAATGAATTCACTGCTGATGGGTAAAATACTATATAAACAAGGCAGAAAATTTTGTTCGATTTTCAAATGCGGTTTATGCTCATCACATTCAGAGACAGCTGAGTAGCTGAAGACTAAGATTTTCAGAAGGGACAAAAGCTCTCCTATGTGTCCAAGGCACTGCCTCTCCAACATCCTCTTCAATATTTTGGGATTTTGTAGTTTTTGTCCGTCAAAGTTGATTATGGTTTCAGAGCCATTTGTAGTATACTTCCGGTCATTGCAACTCGGCTTAGTGCGTCTAAGTTGAACTTAAAACCTCAGTTTAAAATCTTGTGAGCTGATTGTTGATCATCTAAACACGGATCGGTTTTTCGAAATAATTCGTGCTCGTTTTCAAAGAAAGAACAATCACAGCCACAAAATTCGAGCAGGTTTGGTCGATTAGGAAAGTGTTTGCGATTCGACCAGCACTGCCACGGCACTATTTTTGCTGCATCGCAGGGCAATCTTCGATAACGACCATCGAAAAATTGATAATGATTGCTGAAGATTTACCTAACAAATAGATTGGTGGTAAAGATTTACGTTTTCACAAGAATTTTCATGAGAAAAAAAAAACAAAAATTATGGGAACGTTGAAACAATTCTATTCTTTGAGCTACCAAAAAATTCGAAGCTAATTCTGTAGAAGTAAAACTTATTTCCTCGCTTTCTTGGATGTTCAGCTAACCAACAACCCTTTCTACTGTAACCTTTAAGACTGCGCAGCCACGCAGTTTCCATCGGTGGCATTACGACATCCTTTGAGTACGGTGTCCTTTAAGTTATTCATGAGCAGCTTACGCGATTTTTGTCTGTTTTTCTGCTTTGTCACACTATCTGTCACTGCAACTTGTGGCTTATGTTCAACTTGCGGACAGCACCTTGGATTGACAGTGGCGGCTAATCGAACAGTCTTCTGGCTGTTCGACTTACATTTGAAAAAAGGAAGTGTGAGCAGTTGTAAGTTCAACTTACGAAGTTTTTCTGAAAGGATCAGCTCATGACTGAGCTGGCCTGGTTTTATTACGGACCCTCCTTGAGGGAAGGGTAAACGTACATTGTGCACTAGCCAGAAAAGCAGGAAGTGTTGAAAGTGGCGACTGTGTTATTTTGTAAGCCTTGCCCTAAACCAGCGCTAATATGGGAATCGCGGGGGTTTGTCGTGGTGGTCCTGTGCGATGGTGTGCTAATTTGAATGCAGTTTTCTCCACAAGCAAGACCGGAATGTTTCATGGTCAGTGACCTGGTATTTGAGACCTTCCAACCACTACAGTCATTTCTAAACTTGATTCAGCCGGAATATTGCCTATAACATTCTAATCGACATCATATTCAGACTATCTCGGGGCTCAACTTGGTCAAGAACAAGCACTGTGATAATTGCCCCAACTTTGTTCGCGTTGTAAGCTTAGTATTAGCAGCCAATTCGTTCAACTGATGGTGAATTGTATTTTTGAACAGCAATAAGGTACTCACCTCGATGGTAGGCGACATGTCCGACAGTCGTAAATGAGGGTTCGAACACAATGGACATATATAGCGGCTCATTTGTCTAAAATGATACTATCCATGTTGATAATAATATCACAGCATTTGAACTGCAATCTCGTAAACAAAAATCATTTGAAGATGAGCATAAGCAAACGCATGCAAATGGTAGAACGTGGATACACGCGTGATAGGCACGCACGTATATGCAAAAATCACAATTTAGTAAATGTTTGTCGAATAGCGAAGATGAGAATTCGAACTAAATCTTATGCGACACCCACCTTGCATCGTACACAAAAGAGGAAGGAGTAGAAAGGCTTTGCTTAGGCAAAAACCGTGTTTTTTGAAAGTTAGAAAAGAAGACTTAGATTTACATGAAGTGTCTTCATGTAAAGATGAAGGAAAACAAACGTAGAGGTTAAGTCAGTGCGTAAGTGGTCACCTTGTTCATATTCTGCACTACCACTCTAGTCCAACTTTTTCTCTATTTTCTGAAGCAAATTCGTGGTGCGAGTTTTCGAGAGCGTTCAGAATGCAAGTGCAATTCAGCATGCAAGTGGCGTAATTGCGAAGAATTTATTGAAAATGGTATACAATCGCTTACACTCTTTTTTGCTTTATGTTTGTTGTTTTCTTTCTGTTTCTACCGAACATCAAAAAGTACGATAGTTGTTGCGTCTCCGGCGTTGTCATTTATTTTGGTGCTTTCTTTCTTTTGTAAATCGGTCCCTTCGTGTGGACTATTCAGGGAATTCCAATGTTGGCAAACCCTCGAGAACTCCCCTCCTACTCGTTCAAGTCTCTGACGAATTCGTTCGTAGAGTTTAATTGGCTAGCCATATCCTAGAAATTCCTACCAAAAGCTGGGAGTGAATTTGGGAAGAGAATTCGGCAGAGGATCGACTGAAGAAGGAAAACGACCTGAGGACTTCAGCAAGAGATCTGGCCATTTTCACTTTATGTTTATTTTTGTTGATGCATCTCGTTAGCAAAGAATAAATAAATAATAAATAAATAAACAATGACGTCTGCAATAGAAAAGGAAGCTTATCGTTCTTACAAGAGCTACCTAACTTAACTCGGCTTTTTGCCAAGGGACATATATATTCTAAATCAGCTCCAAACGCTGATTCCAAAAATGCTATTCCTAACTGCCGAGCACCATTCCAAAGAGAGTTACGGACTTTTTCCTGCGCGAATTTGGCATACTCATCAACTCACTGAACATCACGGTATTATCACCTAAGTGCTAGTACATGCGTTGAGCTTCTTTTTAATGAGAAAAGATTGGATTGTGTTATTTCGATATCTCAGCACCTTTTTCTTGCAGATTTTTATTTACAGGAAGTCTTCCCATGTCAGTAGTATGCCAAATTCGTGCAGGAAACAGTCCATAACTCGCCGGTGCTCGGCAGCTAGGAATAGCATATTTGGAGTTAGCGTTTAAAGCTGATTCAGAAAGTATAAGATATGTTGCTTGCCAAAAGACCGAGCTAACAAGGGAAGCGTGTGTAGTCGAAGTGGCATTTCCAGATGAGACCCATACTGCTTTGAAGAGCATTAAGCGTTGATTTCAAATCTGCCTTCCAAATCTGCCAAGCGCCTTTGGACGCCGAATTATGGGCGTTTTTCAGGTCAAAAAATTGAACGCAAAACTGGAACAAAATCGTCCAAATTTGCACAAATAGTCCATTGTCAAGTATCAGAGCCCTTTGTGCAATGGATACATTTTATCTAATATGCTAACACTTAACATCTTTATATCTGAACGCTGTAAAGATTTTAATAATCAATTTTACCCAAACTCTGCGTTCATTTTTCGTTCCAAAAAACGGCCATAACTCGGTGTCCAGAGGCGCTTGACAGATTCGGAAGGCAGATTTGGAATCGCCGTGCAATACTCTTCAAAGCAATTTCATCTGAAAAGACCATCTCGACTAAACACGCTTCTCAAGTTGGGTAGCTTTCCTCATTAGTTTTTATTGAAGAAGGTACTTTCTACTTCGAATTGCAAAGGCCTACTGCAGAAGAAGTAGTAAAAAATACGCGTCATATGTGCACAATTTAGAAATTTAATCCGTGCTTTTGTTGCATGATTTACAAGAAGTTGAGAAGTTAGAACGAAAACTACAAGGATGATTAACCACAGAATTGCAGCATAACAAATATAAAACACCTGCATCCGCTGAAACAATCATTAACAAAACTGCATTACAAAGTAAAATTACGGATGTGTTTTATGATATGTTGTGACATAAGCCAGTCTAATACCAAAAAAAACAAATTACTTCATTATTGTGAAATTCAATGTATTTCAGTGTATAAACAAGTCACTTGTACATGTCTATAACCCACGTAATTAAATTTCAAAAATTTCGCGACCCATTCTCGGGGGGGGGGGGGGAAGGCGCCTCCCCCCCACCCCCGTCTCCCCCGTCACTGATGTATTCTTATTGCTTTCGAACAGTTGAAGAATAAAAAAAACTACTGATATCGTTTTGTTTTGCCTACTCACTAAGCGAAGACATGATGTTGTTCATATCTAATGAGAGTTCCGTCGTACACATCAAATTCTGCAGCTTTCGTCTTTTTCAGCAAGTTTATATCAAGATTATATTCATTAATAAAAATCAATGGTCAAGATTATTGATTATATTCATAAAAAAACACACAGTATTCCGCACGCAGGAATTGAATGTAGGTCATACAAATTTAGATTACTCGAATAGTTTAAATTATTAAGCTGTTTCCTAAAAGGATTGAAGGCAGAAAAACTTGGTTTAGTGAACCTTCGCAAACGGTGAAGAGTCGAAATTGTAAAAAGAGACTTTTATGTTTTTTTTCAAAATCTTGACTTGACGAAGGTAAACAAAAAACCATTTATTGCTGTGCTTGTGAAAATCGTTGCAAATTATATATAAAACCCTTCTCTAAACTTCTTCTTTTGAGTATGTGTGATTTTGATGTCTAGTTGTGGTTTTGCGAAGAGACGCGATCGCATAAAAAACGATTCTATGCAATGTTGATTGCAGTTGTGTTCGCATTTTAATATGAATGGAGGTCTGACAATCCAAAAGGTTAGAAACTTTTCAAATAAACGTCGTAATATTCTTGCCTAACATGGGGCAAACCAAGGTTTTCATAGTGCAGCTGGAAGTGATATCTGTCATAAGCTCGAAAGTGAAATTGTTTGAATTGTGTGACAATTTTTTGAAGCGCAATGTTTCGGAAAGGTTTTTTGTAGAACTTTTTCTAGAGTGGGTAAGGGCCGCATCCATTAATTTTCTCTTCAGAGAGAGGATTGTAGCTTTGAAAACGCTTTATATTCTAACGCTCCAGATATCTTGATTTCACCTACTGCCCTTCACTACAGCAGTGGCGAACCGAGGGGAGAGCGGGTTGGGGACCTGCAAAATTTTTTAGAAGCACCCCTAAAAAATTTTCGGAGTGCGTGGCTGACGCCACTCACCTTCATTTGGAAAAAAAATTTTGTCGCGTCCCCACCCCCCCCCCCCCCGGTCTAAAATCCTGAGACCGCCACAGCTACAGAAATACCGGAAACAAGCGCATTTATATAAGCGCGTTTGCCGCTGTCTGTTTAATACATGGTCCCCATCGGCAGGCCTGCTTTCCTAATAATTCATTTCGAAGTCAGCGAAAACATCCCAGAGTCGTGCTAGTTACCTAATTCAACAGAGCTAAGGGTGAATCTGATGTAACAAACCAGTTTTAGAAAATCAGCGCGTCACCTCTGCTTGGCAGAGGTGCGCACTCGCACTGGCCATTATGGAATGCAGCATGTAAACTTACGCAAAGGTGCGTCATTCCACGTTCCCAGTAACCGATAAGTGATTTCGAACAAAATGAACTTTCCTTGTCCCGCTACGCTCACATGCTTCAAAGCGATGTAAATTTTTGCTCACTGCATTACGCAATGGACAAACTCTAACAGCGACAGATTAAGCGGCATGTTATAAGTCTTGATATTTCGATAAACCCTAAGTTCCGATTTTTGTTTATCGGAACTTTCATTACTTCGATTTAGCTGTTCTTCTTAGAAACAGGTAAGCATTGTTGGTTCAAATAATTCACATCACTTTGAAATATTTCCACTATTTTCCGGGAAAGAAGAATCTTGGATGGAAAGACGTTTGCCCAGTGTTGATCACCAAAGGATCATACAAAAAGCTGGAAAGCTAGAAAAGGCGTCTGGGTACCGGTCAACAATTACGATTTCTTGCGATGCGACGCCGCAACGCAACGTCAAATTACAAAAAACAGCTTCCGTCAGTACTCCTGTCCCAATATTACTTATGGCATCGACTCATAATATCTGTCGCCACTCCTCCCCCCCCCCCCCTCTCTCGCTGTTGTGGCGCTGTGTCACTTTCGCACCGGGGAGTTTTTGTGTGGCACAAAATTCGGGCGCGGCGAGCGATGTGATTCCTGACTCCGTAGCCAACACGTCTAATTAGACTGGCGGAGATGTTTCTAAAATTTTTTGCTGTTGGGATGCGAAACGTCGCAGATGATTTTGGGTTTTAGCTTCCAACTGCAGAGGGAGCATCAAAATCCCTGGTGGTTACCTTGCAGAATTGCTTTCCAAGTCGAATATCGTCCATCACGCAATTTTTAGTGTATTGCCGCGATAGCATGAAAAGTGTCATCATTTTTGCAGCAACATTTTACCATATACTTTGCTACAACCTTCTTGTTTACAATAGAAATATATATATCACACGATTAAAAGAGGTAAGGAAAAGGAGGGGAAGGAGACGGGGGTAACTGGGCATAAATACATTATGTTTCAACGCGGTGTCCCTTCTTCGTGCCCAGATCCGCTAGGCAACTTGCGCAAAGACCTTCGCAGGGGCTCACCCGGCAACTTACTGCTCGTCGCACACGCCCGCGAACGCAGCACGAGGTACTTGTGAAGCAATATGACGGTCGAATGCGGACCCTACGGTTGATGGACTGCACAATAAATGAGGCAGTAGCTTTGCAATGCAGAGTTCTCCAAACACAAAAGCGAATATGGCAGCAAATTTATAGGCTGATTTTGA